AATGAAAGAGCCACTGGAGCAGGGAGATTGGATACCGGGTCCCCAACATCCTGGGCGAGTGCAATAACCCCCAGCCATGAAGTCAGTCCTGTGCTTGCGTATGCTCTCACTCTCTGGTCCAAATGACTCTAAGAAATGTGGGCATCACTTTGAAGCTTGGGGAGATAGACCCCTGGGTGTCTAGAGTGAGGCAGCAGAAACAGGACGTGAGGGGGCTTTCACTGAAAACAAATAGAAACAAAGGCCTGGTCTACACTACATGGGAAGGTCAAATTAAGATATGCAGCTCCAGCTATGTACATTACGTAGCTGCAGCTGATGTATTTTAAATCCCCTTCGACGCAGCGGGAGGTTGACAGGAGCAAACTCTTCCATCGGCTTCCCTTACTCCTTGTGGGGAGTGGGAGTACCGGCACCCTTTGAGCGCAGTCTAGTGGGTCTATGCTACACCTGTTAAATCGAACTTTGAAGGACTGACTGTGGCAGTGTCAATCTTCCATGTAGTATAGACCTGCCTAGAGTGAGGTTAGGCACCTACAGGGTTGGCGCGAGAGTGCAAGGCAGTGCTCCTGACAACTTGAGAATGTTGCCGGTGCTCACAGAGAAATTTTGTGGCAGTGCTAGGAACTGTTCCCAGATCTCCTATGTTGCAGTACAGAGCCTTAATCACAAGTTCATTATCCTCTCATTTCATTTCGATTCCCTGCCAGAGTGATACACTGCACTAGACATTTCCCAACCTAAATATTTTCCCCAAGTGCCTTTTGCCTCTTACACTCAACCCACTCCACTGCCCCTTCTCACAATCCCATCCTTATTGGCGTGAGAAACTTCTCTGTAGCTCCTGCCCTCTGGAAGTGCCTTCTAGTGTCTCTCTGCCTCATTTACTCTTGTGTCCTTTCCAATCTCAGCAGAGAAAAGAAGCATTGATTAGAACTGGTGGGGAATTTTGTGATGAGACAGGGTTTTTTTGTTTGCTTAGAGAATGATGGCTCATCCAATCCAAAATGGAAATGTCTCTTGTTTCACAAGACCTCTGTTGATATGCAAGGAGGGTGCCGTTAGAATGCTGGGTTATTTCCTACCAGCCTGGCATGTTCCTGGGGAGCTCATGCTTCCAGGGTCTGTGGATTTTTGGTAGCTTCACCATACAGACTGCCTCAGTGGAAGGGACCATAGGGCCACCACTCCAAGAGAGCCTCACCAGGCACAGTCATGGCCATTCAAAGAATCTCCTGGAGTTGAAGCAATGTGAGGAGTTTCTTGGAGTGAGGGGCAGCTGGATTCTCCATTTCATTCTTCCCTTATCAAATGGAAACATTTCTATTTTTCCAAAAGAATTGGGGTCCATGCTAAGTAACTCGACAGGATGGATGTACAGAAGACATAATCTATTATTTGAGATAATATGGCTCTCTGCATATTTGTTCAAGAACTCCTCCTCACTGGTAAGAGATAGCACTACCAAATTTGGTACACAGCTTCCTCTTATCATGACTTAAAGCAAGGTCAGGATTTGGTTGTGTCAGGAAAATGGGATGTGCCTGGGATGGGGTTGCTTCCCAGAAAACCATTCAGAAAAGAGACAGAATAATCAGGCAGGTGAAAGGGGCTGACTGGGGAGGCACACCTCCCCCATCTGGAACTGCTCTAGCCTTGAACCTTCCACCCCCAGGTGCCCTTTAAGGGGGACAGGGGAAGGGGTGAAGTGCCCTTCCTATGTGTATGGGAAGAGTGCTGGCTTTTCCCCTTCATCAAGCAGTGAGGGGAAAGTGCACCAGGAGCTCCATCCAGGGGACATGCACCCCTCCCCCAGCTGTGCCTGCTGGAGCTCCAGTAGCCACAGAGAGGTGCTTCTAACCTGCCCCCTACCTGCTATGATGACAGAGGTCCGGGGTAGTGTTCTTTCCCTGGGGCAGCCTGCATACTGAACCCCTCATCCCCAGCCCCACCCCAGAGCGATGATTTAAAGGAGGCATGGACATTTTCATTGTATTTTCCAAAGACCAAAAATTAATTGAGTTAAAGACCCAAGCAACACCAGCTAAATCCTCTACTACAATACCTTAATTAATCTACAAATGAGATTTAAATGTTCTCCATTCACCACTTGATGGCTTAGCCTGTTTTCCTAGATTGGTGTTTCCCAAAGTGGTCTGTGAAACCTATTAACAGGCTGCATTGGTTAGTTTATTTACCGGCACTGCGGCCACGGAGCCTCGTGGCTCCCAGTGGCTCCATTTTGTTGTTTGCAGCCAAGGGGAACCACAGGAAGTAGCAGCCTGGCCCAAGTCACTTCCCATGGCTCCTCTTGGCTACAAATGGTGAAATGAAGCCAATGGGAACCATGAGGCTCCGTGGTCGTGGTGTCGGTAAATAAACAAACAAATGTGGCCAGTTAACAGGTTTCTCAAAGTGGTTTCATGAACACCATTCTGGATTATATTCCTTGTGTTTAAGTTAGCATATAGGTTCTTTGGGGAGGGAGCTGTATTTAGGTTTGCACAACACTGAGCGCAAGAGCTGTGCTCTTTCAGTAATAATGCTCCCATGGCACATCACACCTGAGACTGACAAGCAATTAATGGGGCTCTGCAGTTGCAGCTCTGGCAGGACTTTGTGAGCCTTGTGATACAGAGATGCCCGGATCCAGGGCCATGTGGCAAACTGAGCTGAGGCATGTGTAATTCTAAACATGTGCTCTGTTTCTTGGAGAACATGAATGTGGTGCTGCCTGTGTGCGATGACTGGAAAGGCCCCGAGGCTGAACTGGAAAACAGAACAAGGCAACATAATGGAGTCCAGAAACAGACCTTCCGTGAATCAAAGGCAGGCCTGTTTGTGTACTGTACAGTGAGCAGTGGGGGAGCACCCCCAAACTAGCCAATAAACATATTTACAGGGATTTTACAGCAAGGTCGGTAAGAAACAATAAAGCAATCACTCAGCACCTCCATTCAGCAACGCTTTATAGCACAGAGTCCCACTCACAGCTGCCTGAGTCCGGGTGAGTCACTCTTTAAAAGTCCCTAGAGTCTGCCCCCTTCAGCAGGGTTTACTGCATTTCTCCCCCTGCAGCTTTCCTTGTCCTCCCGGTCCTGTAAGCACGTCTGGTCTACATTTTAATTTAGCAGTGCTTAGTCCAACCCATCCAAACTTCCTTTTTGACAAGGGAGAGAAATACCCACAGGCTGTACAAATGAATTTTGCTCCTGCACTGACATAGGTCCTTTCACTTCCTGTCTAGGCCCAGCGCTCCTGTAGCCAGCTGCTTCCCAAGTACCAGCACCTAGGCTGCAAGATGGAGAAACCAGCAGCTTTCCTTTAGAAGCCAATTAGCAAACTACAGGCAGTTTGGGACTTTTGTCCCTTTCCCTGTAGTGTTTGCCTGGACAAAAAGCATTATCCAACAGGTTCTATTTATTTATCTAACATTTCCCATAAAATAGTCAGGGGATAAAGGAGCCAGTCTTGACTTTTCTAGTCCAGTGATTCGCAGCCTATGGGGTGTATCCACATAATGAGTACAGACTCCAGTATCATAGGGCTATCTGCCAGTAGCACACTGAGGCCACATTTTCACTTGCCATGCTGGAGATTGATCTTCTTGCATTCTATTTAGTGGGTCTAGTTAAGACCTGCTAAATCAAATGCTGAGGGTGGCTCTGGTTGGCACTGGCACTCCTTGCAGTTGTGAGGATTAAGGGAAGCTGATGGGAATGTTTGCTCCCATTGGCCTCCTTCTGTGAAGACGGCGATAAACTCAGCTTGAGGAAAACTGACTCCAGCTATGTATTTTATGTTGCTGGAGTTGCGTACTTTAACCCAACCTTCAGTGTGGGTCTGGGAACCAGAACATCTGAGTTCTGATGTTTGTGACACCACTAGAACTAGATGGCGGCTTTAAAGTACGTTACATCACTCTCTAGATCTGTGTTTTCCCTTCTATACAATGGACTGTTAATAGTCATTTTCCAGAACTACCAAAAACATAGGGTGCTAGGAGGGAAGTATTAACGAGTGCTGAAGAATGTCCCATCTCTCTGTGAAAATGCAGGGAATCACTAAGCCAGGAGAACAGACAGAATGGAGCCTGGCTCCTTTCACAGCAGCCAGAATATGTACAGAGCACAGTATATGTGTGGGGAAACAGCAGAGTTTCTGCCAGGTGAAGAAACAAGCTTTATAGTGTCATCCCTGTAAGAGATATTTAGTGAAAGGAACTAGCACATCCTTTGAAGTACTGGAGAAACTAGTGCAAAGGATTCTGGGGTTTGGAGCCATTGTGGAGTCAAAATGGGGGTAGGTGGATGGACAAGAAGAGGCAACAGTGTGGACCAAGAGAAGAACAAAAACAACTGAGAACTACTGCTCTAATTTACCTCTCTCAAAATTGTGAGCAATCAGCAAACTTTCAGCATGTGTCATCTTAGCTATTGGCCTCTTTACTCAACCTCCCGACAGCACACTAATAAAGATAGCAGGCAGTAGCAATGGTTCTCTTTGGTCAGATAAGACACACAAGCTGAAAAGGCCCATGGTATTTTTAGCGAGGAGAGCAAATGTACATGGGAAGGGTCTTGAATCAAATGCCCAGTGTTTTGCCTGTTCCTTGTTTGACAGAAGACATAAATTTCTCAAGACGTGAGGAATATCATGCACAGCATCTGACTGGCTGGAAGATGAATGCCTGACTCTTGCTCATGTGTTAAAGGCAAGAAAACTCCTCCAGAGATGGGGTTTTCTTTCTCTTTAATTACCATCCAGGAATCAGTGTTTAGAAAAGGTAGCACCAAAGCAGCAAGTTAAAAGATATTGGATCTTACAGCCTGGGTGCCATCTCATTTATTTCAATGATTTATTGAATCATTTTGTTTAATTAACATTCTAAATCCCCAACATTTAAGTAAAAGTAATCATCTATACCTTTAAGAGTCTGTTCGAGTTCTTGCATCAACAACTCCTGCTTCCTTGTTCAAGAAGAGTTTCAAGGACCAATGAACTGAAGTAGAAACTACATCAGACCTAGAGGGGAAAAAGATCAAGAAAATAAATCACTGAGGATGGAACAGATCTTCCAGCAGCAAGCGATCTGAGTAGACGTTTTGCTTCCCTGAATCTACTGTTATAACACTGGCTCCACAATGAAGTTTCTTTCTTAACTTTCCATGTCGTCGCAATTCTCCCTCAATAGCCATACAGGTGCCCCCTCCTCCTACAACCCTGCCCACCTTCCCCAACCACACCAGGTCCCTTCTGAATAATGAAGAGAGAACACATTCAATACAGCACACAAAGGTCTAGAATGCAGACTCCGTCCAGGTCTACACTAGGGGAAAAAGTCAACCTAAGATGTGCAACTCCAGCTATAAGTATAGCGAAGCTGAAGTTGACATACTTAGGTTGAATTTTCATGATGCCCTCACTGCAGGAGAAACTCTCCCATTGACTTTCCGTATTCCTCGCAACCTAGTGGAGTACTGAAGTCAATGGGTGTGCAATCAGCGGTCGATTTATTGGGTCTTTACTATACCCACTAAATTGAACCCCTGGAGATCGATCTCTGCAGCTTTGATCTTCCAGTAAATAGAGACAAGATCTCAATGTATTACCTGGGAGGTCCAATGGGATCCTCCAGCAAGTGTGCGCATAGGAAATGAAATGTGATTTTTAGAAGCTGTTCTCCTGAATTGCTAGGGGTTAGAAGTTAATGCCTTGCGTCATTTGAACATGGGCTCCATGTTGCTTTCAGGTGGACACTGCTTTCTAGACGTAGACCCAGATGGATCCCAGGCTGTCACATGGCCCTTAAAGTGCCTGTCAAACTAAATAAACCTGGGTTTATGCAGACCCTTCTCTTGTGTGGCTCTCTTGCAGAGGAAAGAAATAATTGCCTACATTCACTCTAATCTGTGCTCCATCCAGAGGTGAAAGTAAACGGGGACGCCCCAGTGCGCTGCTCCAGTAAGAGTGGGCTGTGATCCAGCAAGAGCCAGCTGGGGTGCACTGCTCTGCAGGAAGCAGGCAGGCAATTTAAAGAGGCTGGCTAGGGGTGCACTTTAGGGGAGGTGTGCATGCTCTAAGCCAGACTACTGAGAAGGGCTGGCAGCAACTCCCATCTGACCATGGCGCCCAGCCCCAGCCCTTCTCCTGCTGGAGTGGAGGAGGAGGGCACAGAATCAGCCTCTGTCCAGCTGGGCTGTAGCAGCATGGGTCTTTGCCCTGCCCCAGTCCCGATCTCCCACAGAAGAGGCTGATGGCGGCCCTGCTGTTGCAGTGGCAGCCCGGACCCAGCCTCGCTCCTCTGTGGGTGTGGGTGTAATCAATTCCTGTCTGGTTGTGGCTGTGGCAGCCTGGCATTGGTCCCGATCCTGGGGCAGGCCCCCACTCCTGTCACAGCGGCCCAGCCCCAGCCTAGAAGTGGGGTCAGAGTGGGGTGCAGAATCAGCCCCTGTCCAGCCACAGCAGCACCTGCCTGGCTCTGGCCCTGGGTTAGGCCCTGCAGTGTGCTCCCCATCTGGCAGTGCTCTCATTTGGCTGTGGTGACCTGGCCACTGCAGAAGTGGGGTCAGGGCTGGGTGCCGTGGTCAGTAGCCTGGCTGGGAGCATGCACACCTCCCTCCCTGCATGCCCCCAGTCAGCCCCTGCACAGTAGGAGTAGGAAGGAAGGTGGAATTTGCTGTAGTGGCCTGGTCCCAGCCAGGTAAGTTAACCTGCCCCTCCCTCACACTCTCCCCCCCCACACCAACTCCCCACCTCCTGCACCCCTTACCCCAACCCCCAGTCCTGAGTCCCTTGTACACCCCACCCTGACTCTTGCACCTCCTCCCACACCCCAACTCCCAGCCTTCGGTCCCTCATACACCCCAATTCTGACTTTTACACCCCTATGTCCCTAGCCCCCTTCCCTAACTCCTGCACACACCCCCAGTCCTCTGCCCTGAACCCCCTACATTCCAACCCACACGTAAATTTCTTATAGATACTGTTTTATCACAGCTCGCCCCACTCTGAGGGCCCCCCCCCCAAGGGGCAGGTTGTGATAGTATAGTTCCTGTATGAAATTTAGATTACTTTCACTCCTGGCTTCCACATCCCAGATTCCACTCGCTGCTGTGTATCAATTGACCACAAAAACCCTCGAAAACCCAAGCAACAGAACACTGGTTATAATTAGCTTTGTCACACTGTTCAGTATATAACATTTTATAGCTGCTGCTGCAATAGCAAAGAGAATGGGATCCAAATGCTAGATTATTGCTAGTATATGGCATTGCTGCAATACATGGTGTTAACACAGTGTGACAGTTGGGGTATGAGTGCACCGCACTGTGCCGCTATTTTGGGATACTTGGGCTGTCAGAGCCCTAAATGATTCTGGATTGAAAAGAAACACCCAGTACAATCAAAATGGAGAAAACGGTCCCAGAAATCTATGTAGCCTTACTGAAGGCTCAGGAACACACCATCCGGGTGTGCAATAAGAAAAGCAAATATTGTGTCTTCATGCCACTTGTATCAGACAGAATTTATACCACCATCAATAACTCTGTAGTTTCTTGCTGGTTGCTGCCTCCTCCTTAATTTCTTGCAACAGCAAAAATGAAACTTAGCCTTGAGTAGATGATACATCAATGCAAAATTTTTCTTCCTGGGAGCACTGCCAATATCGGGCATATCAGCATCATGAGCCAAATTAAAAAATAAATAAATCATGAGACTGGCTTAAAATAATGAGTTTAAAGATAAATAAACAAACAAATATTTCATGTTCGGTCTTTTTATGTGGCTTTGCTTTCTGAGCCTTGAGAGCACATGTAGGTCATGTTTTCAGCCTTTGCTCTGCAAACTTGAGGAACTGAAACATTCTTTAAATGAAAGCTGAGAGTATGTCTACACTGCAGACCCTGGGTGTGGCTAGACTACATGGCTCCATCGACGGAGCCATGTAGATGAGCGTACTCGGCAAAGGGAAATGAAGCGGCAATGTAAATAATTGCCACTTCATTTACATCAAAATGGCCACCGCATTGTGCTGATCAGCTGATTGTTGGCACAGCATACTAGTGTAGACGGCGATCAGCCGACTGGCACAATGCGGTGACCATTTTGATGTAAATGAAGTGGCAATTATTTACATTGCCGCTTCATTTCCCTTTGCCGAGTACGCTCATCTACATGGCTCCGTTGACGGAGCCATGTGGTCCAGACACGCACCCTATGTTGACATAGCTATGCCAGCAGAGCCCGTTAGCTTAGATATAGCTGCCCTGCACCTAAGGAGTTTATCTGTTGACATAACAACACTACCTCCTCAAAAAAGCCCCCTAGAACACGACTACATGGAAGGGCTAAAGCCGAGATAGCTACACAACTTGAGCTATGTCCACTGTGGTAGTTTAAGTCGAAATAGTTATCTCGGCTTTTGGCGTTGTCTATACAGCAGGAAGTCTGAGGTAGAGCCCTCTTCCCCCAACTTCCCTTACTCCTCGTGAAATGAGGGTTACAGGAGTAGGAGTAAGAAGTCCTCCAGTTCGACATTATTTCAACATTATGTTGAAACCACTGCTTGCTGTGTAGACACAGACTATGTTATTTCAGACATAGCCTTAGACTCCTAGCTGGGGCAATCATTCCTAGTAGTGAGAGCAGTGGCAGTCAGAGACCAGGATTCAGAGCCTTGGGTGAGAGCTGGGTCAGGAGTCCAAGAGCAAACCAAAAGGCAGGTCTACTAGACTCAGCTTTTAAGAGCAGAAGGGACCATCATGTGGTCTGGCATTCTGCACGTTGCAGGCCACAGGACCTCATCCATCCACTCCTGTAATAGACCCACATCACTGGCTGAGTTACTGAAGTCCTCAAATCATGATTCATAGATATCAAATTATGGGGCATCCACCATTTACCCTAATTTAAACCAGCAAGTGATCCATGCCCTGTGCTTCAGAGAAAGGCAACCTTCCCCCAAACCCTTCTTGCAA